AAATATATAATATTGAGTAATACGAATGGTAGAAGAATAATAAAATTCGTTGGCAATCAAATAGATATCGAAGACATCCATTACATTCTATTTAAATGTACTGGACAGGTTCTCCTAAGGTAGTTTTGAAGAATTATATGTATATATATATATGGAAGCGAACACTAGAGAAAGAACTCCAAGCAAGCGGAAAAATCTTTGGGTAAACTAAAACACTTGGAAAAAGTTCGTTATGGTTCAATGTTCCCCTGGGAACGTAATGGAATGAAGAAGAAGAAGATATAGGTAACATATTTAAAAACTTTATTCTAAATATATTGAAGGGAATAAAAAGCTTTTTCAGAAAAATGTTATAATTATGGTTTATTAATCATATCAAATTTAACAATATAAATGTCTATCGCATGTCAATCAGATAGAAATTTTTAAATATCCTTTGACGTTTGAATTATTATTGCTTTTAGAAAAAATATTTTGAGAGATTGCTACATTGCATTAATAAATAATACGTTTTCTATGTAGTCCCAAAGAATTCTAACATAAAATTCAAATATTTTTTTTTTCATATACATTGTGCAAAAATCTTCAAATAACTGAAATAAAAATAGCAGGAAAAAAGTATTTTATGATATTCAAGTTTATGATAAAGCATTTCAAATTTTGAAAAAATATATTTTTGCGCACGGCACACTTTCGTTATATATAGTCCAGACTGGATAGTAATTTATAGTTCGGTAAATTATATATTATCTCTAAATCTCTAAAATTATTTACTGAAAAAAAATATATTTTTGCAAGCCGCCTAAGAACAAATCACATTCAGTCAAGACATAATTCTCATGCCAAATGTCAACGATAAAACATTCTGACTTTTGTTTTCAAATTCTAACAAGATTCACATGCTTCAAACAAAAGTAAAAATAAAATATTATAATATAATATTATTTATATTAAATAACGCCTACATGTATAAAAAATCTTTTAATTGTTTTTGTTATGTGCGTTCCTAGAATGTTCCAAACACAGAGGCATTCCATATACATATGGCATATTACGAGTATATTATAAAATAAATTACGATAGTTTGAATTTTTATCGCTTTCAACTGTAAACATTTTATATTAATTATTTAAAAAAAAAATAAATAAATAAAGAAATATGTTTATTACCACACGTACTGTAACATTCATTTAAAGTTTCTTTAAATTTCAAGTGAATCACGGCTTTTCACTGTGTCCATCATGCAAATTGTTGATGGTCATCAACTAAAAACTAAAACCTCCAGTCAGTAAGGCAGCGATGCCGGAGCATTAATTCCATAATGTACGGGTATGAATACATGAAATCGGAAATGCTGACTCACCTCATATCGAAGCACATTTTTTATATTTAAATATATTTTTTTCTGAAAATTATTTTAAAAAAACTTGTATGCAAATTTATTCGGAAACTTATCTCAAATTGACTTTTAGAAAGTAAATAAAATATGAGCCTTCAATTAATTCTCCTACAATCTGTTGTGTCAACACTTTGATGTGAGATGGAATGCAAGTTATTAATATATATATAAACATACATATATTTAAAGTAATTAATATATAGTATTAAATTAGCATATAGTTTTCGCAAACATTAAGGCACTTGAGTTATTTATTTAATTATTTTGGTTAATATAAATATTTACAAGAGAATTCATCTATATTGTATGAAAGCACTTAATAGATTGTTTATGAACTATAAACTCTTATTTATTATTAAAGTTAGCTATTTTGTATGAATTTATTATTTAAAAAAAAAACTTAGTTTAATATTCCTTTAATTTCTATTATAATTATATATTTACAATTAATTAAATACGCATACATTACTTCTCAGAAATTATAGATATGAAATACTTCATTTATATTCGTAATAAAATAGAATATCTGGCTTACATACTCCTCCTCCTCCACTGCGAATGTATCATATACTTTAAATTAAATTTAATTGCACATGCATATATATATATATATATATAAGCTTATGCATTCATACAATACAGTATAATCTTTAACAAAATGGTTTTCTAATAAAATCGCATATAGATAAATATGTTTAAAATAATAAAAATGTAATTCAGCGCCTAACAAAATATTTGATTGAAGTTGAAATGAGTAAAATTCTGTAAGCCATTGAAATATTGACTGAGCAAATTAAAATAATAATACAACAAAATCGATGTAATCCGAGTATATACAGCTCCACAGATTAAAAGGGCTATAAAATTGGCAAACCACATATGTCAGCACTAATTAGTCCAGAGATAAATTGAACAATACAGCCGCAATTTATGCTTGCAGTTGCAATGCTAGTGCCAGTGCCAGTGCCAGTGCCAGCACCAGTTCGGTCCAGCCACAACTACGTTAATCCTGTCATGGCGCTGGCTACGAACTGCATCAGAATGATAAACCAAAAATAAATATGCTTGTGTATATAAATATATAAATTTTTTTAAATGTTTAATATCGATAACGTAGATTTTTTAATATGGAATTATGGTTAAATTGATATATTTGTTGCATCAACGGATAAAATGCATATTTATTTTACTCACAACCAATTAATATACATATTTTAACATTTTTGTTTCGCAAATGAAGCCTTTTTACCTTAAAAGTAATTTAGTATTTATTCTCATTTAATTTTTATAAATTTATCTTAATTCGAATTGCACTTTGATGATGTCTGGATACATTGTTAAAGTTATTAATGAACATCATTTTCATTGTAGTTTATTTATTTTCTTAATTTCATATACGAGTATATTCGATTAATTTATTAAATTGATTGAACGTTTTTTGCAGGTCACATCACTATCTCATATATTCCCGAATATCCAGTAGCAGTAATCGATTAATTTGAATCATAGTTTATAGTGCTGTGATTCGAGTCCTGTTGGATAAAAGATTTTATATGATTGTTGTTAACTTTTATACTAAGTTAATACTTTTTTATAATAGCGGGGTTTTTTCTTAACAAATTCATATTTTCTATTTAAACCAAATTGCACCAAATTGCAACCAATTAAACCAAATTTTGTATTTAAACCAAATTGCACTAACTGTACTAGATTAGAGTTTGGGATGAAAGATTTGTTATTGACAAAGGATTGTAAACTTATTTAAATAAGTTTTTATTTATATTTTAATTAAATAAAATAAATCATATAATAATATTTTACCTATTAAATCAATTCATTTTTTTTTTTTGAAAATAATGAAAAATTATTTGAATTACCACAAAAGAAACCCATTTATAACAGAATTATAGACTTGGAACTGAAAATCTATATAATTATGGAACGGAAACCGATACTGAACCGAACTGATGTAAATTTTTTCACATCATAAAATTGCAATATTTCATATTTGCAATATTTCATTCCATTCCGGTATGATCTAGTACTTAAAAGATTGTAGATTAGACAACATAGGTTGTAAAAAATTTTTATAAACTTAGAGAATTTTTGTCTATATTAGCACTATTTTGGTTAACAAAAATATACCATTCAACTTCTACTAACAGCATAAAATACTGTCAGAATAATTCAAAGGCATTTCAATTCTTTGCCATGTTATAGTACTTGAAAAGATTAAAATACATAAACCATCCAAAATTATTGATTGGTTGGTTCCAATATTAATATTAATTTAGTCTGTTGTTTTGTAGACAGTTCCTTTAAGTCCGAATCATGGGAAGTCTTAAAAACTTTTCGAAGTCCTCAACACTCGCTAGAATTCAGAAATTATTCAAAAGCGATTTATCCAGAGTGGCTGTTTCAGACCTCTACATTTAAACAGCAGGGTAGATCTAATTTAACAGTTTCGATTTCGTGTTGATGGTTATAGTATTGTAAGATACTCTATTTTGACTAGCTGTACTGTAATAGACAGAATATAACAACTCTTTTTTTTCTTCTTCTTTTCCTATATATCGTTGATAATGCATATTTAAAATTTTATTCGGGTTATAGTTATAAACTAATAGTGTCAGTAGCCAAACTCTTTTATCTACGGCCCGATATTTGAAGGTTTTGATTTTATTATAAAATTACTAATATGGAATTATGCTAATTATACTAATTCCATATTAGTATGGAAGATATTTTTCTTGCTAGATCTTCAGTTTTTTGTTTCCCAGGTTCTTATTTTGCCAGTTCATTTCGTTTTATGTTTTCTCCACTATTTTGATATTCAAGGACTTTGATAAGAAACACAGCATCTTTTGGTCAAAGTGATTAGTTGCCGACTCCTTTGTTTCACTAGGTCGGAGGTTTTAGTGGCGTAGCTTAGAAATAATTGAGCTTAGCTTACTAATAAAATTAAATAAATAATGATGTTTTTTCTCTTTTATTTATTTATTTTAAAAATGCGTTAAGGGAAAAATACATTTTTTGCATCATCTTAGAACTAACTTAAAAACTAACAAAAAAAAAGATAAGCAATATTTACACAATAAATAACAATTTCAAATTATTAAATAATAAATTGAAAAATAAAAATTATAAAACAAAAAAATTAAATTAAAAGTAAAAATTGTTTCAATAAGTAAAATAACATTAAATTCATATTGGATTTATAATATTTGGGTCAATCAAGCTACATTATTGAAAATACAAGAGCAAGATAACAACAATAAATAATAATATATTTTTGTATAATTAGTTAATATATGATTTTAATTTTAAATAAAAAATAATTACAAATGTTATGAAAAATATTTAAATTTATATCTTAAATTCTCAATGTTCTAATAACTTTAAGTTAAAGATTAAAATATTTATAAACAAATCCTGATTTATCTGTGAGAATCACAAAGTCTAAAGCATGCAGATTCCGTTTAATTTACATGTTTTGCTGTGATTTTCTAATTTTGTAATTAAATTACGCAAAATAGTCCATGAAACACGCTAAACGATAAATATTTTAACAAAATATTCCAGAGCAAAGACAAAGTTTTACACAATCCTGCGAGAGACGCAGCGAATGCATATTCACTGCATACCCTGTTTCGTACTGAGGACTCAGCACTATTTTGATGCGCTTGGAACGTTCCTTGAACGCTTCTCCGTTCATACCATCCTTGCTGATGTTTTTACTGCATTGATGAAGAGATGCACTTGATTTTTCCATCATTTGCTCGTTTGTATTTACTCCAATTGCTTGGAACAACATTGGCCAAAGTAGGTTGCTGGCACACTGACACACGTGCTGCTTACTTAAGGTATCCATGTTTCACTTAAAATTTTGTGCTCCATTTGCACTACTTGCAACAGTTGCATGGAGCAAGCCACTACACAGATGCTGCATGCGACTGAACTTGTGTAAGCACTGCAGCTTAACTTTAGCCCTAGTCTGTTTTCAGTTAACACAAGCGATCGTCTTAACATTCTTCACAGCTTTGGTGCATTTAATTTAATTATTTTACAGCCATGCACTTGCTATGTTTGTTTAGTGGCAACTATGTATCTGCGCTGTACAAAATCAAATTACATACTTACATCTTCAGGTTGGTGCGTGTCTTCGCCTGTGAGCGAATGCAGAAAATTATCATTATTTGCAGATAATTGAACAAACATAAATGCAGTGCTAAGGAGACAATTTTCGCCTCAGTCTCGACTTCAGTCTCCATAAAGCATGTCAAATGTTCGCTTAAGGGCACTTTTACTTTTAAGCACAGACAGATATGCGATTTAATTAAATTCAAAATTTTTACTCAAAGCTCTTTTATCCGCGCAGAGGTGTACGAGTATCTACAGCACATAAATTTGTACTGCAGTATTTATTTTTATTCATAATTTCAAGTACGAATGTGTAAATGAATTTTTTGCACATTTTATGGGCACATTCAGTTAAAGTGCACTTAAGTAAGTGCGTTGCCAGCGGCAGTAATTGATATTCAGTCAATTATAGATACATTAATGCCATAAAATAAATATACGTTTAGGTACATTTATAATTTTGACTTTAAATAAATATGAAGTACAAGTATCTTTCAAAAAACTATTCGTACCTTTCTGTGAATTTGAAAGTTGAAAACAAATATCTAAAAATATGGAAGTTGTTAATAATATTAAAAAATATTATTTTTTATGAATATAATATGTATTTATATTAAATTTATACCGAATATAAAATTTGATATTTTAAGGAACAAAAATAAGCTTTAGAATACAAATTGCTGTCAATTAAATATATGCCTATTTTCTTAATATAAAGATGTCATTGTGCTTTAGTAAGTTGTACAGTACTTGAAGATATATACGACATTATTTAAGAATCTGGTTTTATTTATTTAAAACGCGAGCTAAATTTATAAAAAAATAGTGAAATAAAACTTGGAAGAACTTTTTGAATTTTTATTATTTCACATTTTTATTTAAAATCATGCTTTTCTCTACTGTATACCTTCTGCTTAAAAAGTATCGGATTTTGTAAATAAAACACACAAATTTTAATTTTATTCCAAATGTATTTTATCTCCTTCAAAATATGCACCTTCTGAAGCGATACACATATGCCAACGCTTAACCCAATCCTCCATACACTTTTCGTAGGCCCGTGCAGGTATGGCTTTTAGTTCCTTCAACGAATTCTCTTTTACCGATTCAATGGACTCAAAACGCTTACCACGAAGAGGCAATTTGAGTTTCGGGAACAGGAAAAAGTCGCACGGATCGAGATCTGGATTTTTGGCGGCACACATATTTATATAATATGTCGAATATTCAAAAATATTGTGCGCTTAATGGATGATATGTGGTGAATATTAGACCCTTTAGGCACCTCTCGTTTTTTTACTGCTTTTCGCTAACTTTTTACAATTATTTTATATAATAATATTTAATTTCAAAGATACATATCTTAACAATATTTGGTTTTACTTAAGTAATGAGACTTTAAAGAGAATATTAATGTAATATTATATACTCGTATATATGCAGTATGTATCTTAGAACACGTTTGTAGAACAACTGGTAAGAATGATAATAAGAATAATATATTATTTTAAAAATAATTCAATACACTCTAGCACCATTTTGTATTGTCTACTAGAAACAATAGAAATTAATTAAATTGGATTAACCACTCGGGGATTTTCAAAGCCATAAATCATTCTGTTAAGTTCGTTTAACTCTTTAAACTGACTTAAAACTCAAGTAAATGCTGCAAAAATTTCTGTTCCTTGCTGAAGTTATTAATTGCAATTCTTGTTAGGATTAAGCACAATGGCTAGCTTAAGGGCAAAAGAGTAAAATAATTTTCTTAAGGATTTTTTTTGTATTGAAAAAACAGCCATCAACATTTAAAGACCAATTTCTGTCGCTTTGCAATCCTGATGCCATGAGTATTCTTGCAGTTTTTTA